ATTGCCTCACGAGAAAACTTTCAACGAGATACTAGCCACTATTTAGGTATTAGACACGTGAAGAAAATTCCAGTGATCAGTTTTCTTGAAGATTAAGTTTCCAAGATTAATATTAGAGTTAAAACATTCGAAGCATTTTCATACTGTTTGAGATTAGTATTAAATTCTGGCACAGAAAAAACGTTACATCGGGACTAAGAATTCTTGCTTATTGTAAATACTAAAGACAATACTCTATTGTCAATTTAAACTGTAGAAAGCATTCGCGCTTTCTACAGAAATCAATAAAACCTGTATAAACCGGAATTATAGTACCGTATTTTCCCGCTTTGGCAGGTTTGTTTTTATTCAGCTTCCATTTTAGACAGGTGTTCTAGAAAGTTTTGCTTAACAACTGATGTAACAATAATGATACTAGATAATAAAGGAAAGTTATCACATTAATATAATACTTAAATTATATGACAGTTGATGTACACAGAGGGTAGATTTCCGGGTAAAACAGCCGGATAAACAGGCCAAATAATATATCCCGTTTCTTTTAAACGGATTATCATGTCATACATTTATTTATCTAACTATATTAAAGCCGCTTTACCAGGCAACCAGCTCAAAACCTTGCTGTATTCTATCGAAACAATCATTTACCACAAATACAGCTGTGAATTAGGAGATTGAGACCCTATCACAGCTGTAGACCACGCCAATAGGAATAAAAAAAAAGGAACAATTCGTGCCAATAGGAATAAAAAAAAGGGGGTAAGAATGCAAATGTGAATGACTTTGTTGGAACCTTAATAGAGCTCCATAGGAGCAAAAAAGTCAAAAGGAACCATACCTGTAAATATCACTCTTCACGAGATATTGCCTCTTGAAATTAGCCTGTCTGGAATTTTGAATAACCCCCAAAAAATAGGGTAAAATTTTTGGTCGTCTAAAATTTGGAGAGGACCAAAACCCCTTTATTTAGAATTGCAATTTACCAAGAGAATCCCTGTGATACTTTTTGTATTTTTAAAACCAGACTTCAGAAACAAACAATTAAAATTTTCATATTTATTCCACATAAACTAAGAATTATATGCAAATTAGATGCAGGTCGTTACACTAATCTTGGGATTATTATTTTTAAAACTAAGCTCATAAAGTTGAATTCATCAACTGATAAATCAGAATAATCTACTTACCTTTTGGACAAAAATAATTCTTTTTTTGGTTAATTTATGTGGAAATTCTTCGCCCCAAAATCAGATGGTTTTAATGATTTATTTTGTTGTATCTCACTGATAAAATTACACAATTCGTGCGAAGGGAAATTCGTGTCTACATCGGATCTAATTTACATACACGAACGTACGAAAACTGAATATTGCAAACTCCAACAATAACAGATTATAGATAATTCAAGAAAGAAAGTTTTAGAATTTTAAATTATGAATTATTTTTTATTAATTTAATTATTTTCATTTATTTAAAAGAATTTGCAATGTAATTATAGTTATATACAGGGTATTCGACAGAAAGAACTAGGAGTTTTTCTCTAAGCCGTGGGAAACTTAGGCGATTGTAAAGGTTTTTTAAAGACCTTTGTTATTTTACTAACAAAGATCTTTAAAAATTAATAAATAAACATTTTAAGTACTTCATTTGCTCCAAAAAAGGGAGACAAAATATGTCCGCCCTATCCCCGTGCCCTAGATGGTTGGATGGCCGAGAGGTTAAGGTGGCAGCCAACCGTTCTGGGGGATCCCACCAGTGGCCAAGCGATCTTCGTTCCCTGAACAGTGGGAGTTCGGTCGTGGGTTTGCACCTCACTCGGACGGGCTGACCGGAGTTTTCCGTTTTTCTCCACGTCTGTAACGCCTAAATAGGGGCCAGTTTCCCTTAAAAGACTTCCCGGAAGGTATCCTCCCTAGGCAGATCGCCCAACTGTTTTGTTGCCATAACTTAAACAACAAACAAACAAATCGTTCTGGGGGACCCGGAATCGAATTCTGACGGAAACACCAAAAATTTTCTGGGCCTCTTCTTTTACCATCCGGCCGATTTATTGTGGGCCTGGCCGAATCCGTAATGGGCTTGCTAAAGAAAAGTCCTCTTAGTGCCCAAGGGGCAGAAAGAGTTAAAAAAAAATTGGGTCTCAAACAAGCTCTCGATGGCTATCTATATTAGGCACAGGCGAACTCAGACTATAATTTCACTAGGAATCTCTCGAGCATATTTGATAGTAAAATTCTCTTGAAGAGATTCCCAAAAATAAAAAATCAATCCAAGACATTACTTTGAAGAACGAATGGAGGAAAATATTTCCAAACGAATAAACATGGGCAATCAATCTACTAAGGGAGAAATACTTCCCGGAGGGCTTTCTACGGGAAATTAGTCCTGTATGCATTACAAGCGATTAGTTAACGTGAGTACATTCATTGTTTATTGAACTTCAAGCCGGATTCCCGCTTGTAATAAATGATTTTCATAATCGATTTTTAAACGAAAACTTCTTGTTGAGTGAATGTTTGTAGTAGATAAAGCTATCTTGCATAATTAATAAAATGGATCAATAGTCTGCTATAGTTTCAGTGTAGTTAAGGATCAGCTCTTTTATCCACAAAAATATAAATGAATCTTTACACAGAGAAAAAAAACTGTTATGTTTATCTAATTACCAATTTTTTAAGCATAGATAATTCAATTCTAACCACGCAAAGATAATTATGTCAGTACCCAACTTTACTAAAATAAAATCATTCTTTCTTCCCGAATATTCCTTCAAGAAAAGGAGGAGAGAATGGTTAGAAGAGCTCCTCAGGAACAGGACAATTAGGAATTGTATGTTTTGTATGTAAACTTCTACTTGCAGAAATCGATAATTTCGATATGCGTGATCTGATGATATACAAATCCTAGATTATTTATTTATAAATGATCCTGTAAACAGTTAGGATTTTAGGTATAAGCAGTCTAAGCTTTTGTTTAAGACTTCTCACTTTTATGGTCTCAGGCGTACTTTTCGATACTCGATCTTGGTACAATACATGTAATTCAATACCAGCTACAATGCAAAAGCTTGTGCAGTATCATGATACGGGTTTTAAATCTAGTGGTTTACTTAGAAATCGAGGGTGGACTCTTATCTAGAACTACGTACAACACAATACTTTGACTTGTAATGTCTGCGTGACGATAAAAGCGTGTCATACGTCTATCTTGAAGGCGTGTGTTTGATGTGTTTTTCTATGTTTCAACTCGGTATCTTTAAAGAAAACTAATCAACAAGCAAAAATTCATTATTTAGTCTTATATAATAAACTTTGTGACCAATATCGCTTTAATAATTCTTTGCATTTCGGAAATCTATGAAGGTTTGTAGAGTAACTCAGGAGGAACCAAGTAGCCCGGCCCCTCTGGTCTTGTGTTCTAGCAGTGAGGCTCATTTCTTTTTTTTTTTTTTTTTTGTTATTGTCTGTGGACATTTAGCAATTGTTTGTTAAATGGAATAAGGTAATGCAACATGAAGGCGATCTGCCAAGGGGTCACCTCCCGGCAAGACTTTATATCTATACTATAGATCTTTCTCCTTTGTTAAAGCCTAATAACTCCTGTGATTTTTATCGAAAATTTTTGAAATTTTGCATGGATGTTTGTTTATTAGGAGGATTGATACTATTAAATTTTGGTTATTAAAGATCGATGGTGTGGGGAGATATAGGGGATCGTATATATCTTCAGTAAGATCGGACTTAACGACGATTTTACTCGCTATTAGCATTTACAATATTGTGGCTGAAGCCTTTTTATGTCTAATAAGGGCCCCTGTTAGTCTTTAAAAGGCTTCAGCTTTCACTATATTACAGTTACTATAAAAATACAATAGCAATACTGTAACAGAACAATATAATAAAGAGTACAGTAATCCACTATTGCTACATGTTGCTACTTTGCTACAACAGTCGCTACATTGTTAGTATATTATACAGTGCTTCTGCGTGCTGGTATGCAAGAGCGGTTAAAAGTACTGAATACAATTTCTGTAATTTTATAAGGTATATTTACTTTTTAAATTACTCTCATTGACTTTTAACACAGGGGTATTTTAAAAGTTTGTACAATATACAATAATAACCCTGTGCTAGTTCACTATCAGGATTATTGGTGTATACGATACACTTATACAGTAACTTATAAGCCTACAGAACTCTGCTTTATGTAATAAAGTACTTTATATTAAGCGTATGAACAGTATTTTAACAGCACAATAGAACAGTACGTTATAGTAGCAGCGTACTGTACTTAGTTACAAATACGCTGCGACAACATGAAATATAAAAAATTGATTCGTTCACCTATCGATTTTTTTGTCTTTCAATTATAACTTTCGTAGAGCAGAAACGACCGGACTTTTTATTGAAATACCAAAATTCCTATTTTGTTTTTGATTAAAAATATTTCAAAAGTTCAATCGTATTATTGAACAAACTTTTATATAAAAATTAAAGAATTTTTTATTCGAGTAAACGAGAAAAGGAACTAAAACAACGACGATTTCAATTGATTTCTTTTACTAGATTCAGGTACATATTATGAGGCTCTTTCCGCCCCGTGGGCACTAAGAGGGCCTCTTATAGCATGCCCGTTATGGGTTCGGCCACAATAGAGCGGTCGGGTAGTGAGAGACGGGGGCCCGATTAGTTATTTTTATTAACATAAAATAAAATCTTCAAGAGTACTTTTTATAAATCAAAAAGCATTTTACATATTTCATTTGTTCAAAAAACACACACGACAATAGATAACGCTCGAAACCATTGTCTCATACAAACGCTCGCTCAGATAATTTTTAAGCAGCTACGCACGTATAGATCACGCCTTATATTATTTTAACAACCGGCATTTTTCTCTAATTAATATTTATTAATTATCCACGCAGAGTACACACGTCCATAGAAAATCTTTACCACACCGATATCGATTTTTCACACTCGACGCCACCTGGTATTATTTATAGAAGTTAACAGTTAGTGACGTGTCAAGATGGCGGGTGGAAAGAAGCTTACTAAAGAGGAAGAGCTTTTACTTCAAGATTTTAGCCGAAACGTCTCGACCAAGTCGTCGGCATTATTCTACGGAAATGCATTTATAGTTTCGGCCATTCCAATATGTAAGAATTTAAGTAATTATTAGTTTTTTTATGGCTGAGTTAGTTAGAGTGGATTGACACGTGCTTTGTATGGCTAATGATAGCATATGATAAATCCTTTGGTAATTATACGAAGAGATTATCTTACTGTTTTTACCTATGTATTTTGAATTGGGAGAAGAATTAATATAATAATAGATGGATAAAGTTCTGTTATGCTCTATTTTGATATATTCTTTCAGTCTAATGACTTGATTTGTTTATAATTTTGCTCTTTTAGATGTTTTTATTAAATTGTATTTAATGACAGATTTAACTATTATTTATTATCCTTTACATGACCAGGATTAGAGGAATTTGCATGCCATTTTGATTCGAGTAGAAGAATTGGCTGTGTTTGGCAGAATCGACAGTTGTAACCGAGAAAAGGTGTTTCGTAGTTACATTTGCCAAATGACGAGTGATGTATGCGTAGGAACAAAAAGTGGCCGTTGTCGGTCAGTTTCGGGTAACGTAAATGAAAGATGCTACTAAATATACCAAACGTGTTCCAAAATGGTGTTACTGTAGAGGGTGTTTGGCAGAAAAATACTCGACGGCTCCGGAACTGTTGAGTCTGCCAAATGCGGCCGTTGGATACTTTGGCGTATCCGTGTCGCTTTATTTTTTAGATCCGAACTAAGCTAGCCTTTAAATCGTGCCCATTATTGTTTGGGATCATTGTAATTTACTTAACTATTTTTATCCTTCTCAACTATCGTCTCACCTCTATGTAATGCATGTTAACACTGTTGCACATACCAAATGTACATAATGCATATCCTCGATTGACTCTCTTAATTGTACTAGGAGTAATATGCAGCTTGTAGTACCGAATGTTGCATTATTTCATTAATTACACGTATAACATACAAAGTGGTGAAATAAATGGTATTGTTTGCTATATGATGCTTCGGAAATAAAAATAAATCATTATTCAAGGGTTGAGACTATGGCCAAGTGGTCAAGGTGGCAGCCTACCGCTCTGGGAGACCCGGGATTGAATTCGAACGGGTCAAAAAAATCCCTAGGAATCTTTCGGGAGTTATCTGTTCGGATATGTTGGGCCCTGTCCCTCGCCACCTGGCTGCCCCATTCTGGGCCTAGCCAAACTCATAATGGGCTTCCTAAAAAAGAGGCCCTTTTAGTGCCCATAGGGTGGAAAGAGTTAAAGAAAGAAAAAGAGTTGAGACTGTAGCATTACATACTATTTTTATAAACATTGCCCCTTTAAGGGGCTGTGCATAAATGATGTCCGTACTACAAGCAAGGGAGATCTTTATGACAAGTTGGATGAGGGAAGGGGTTGAACTTCACTGAATTTTTATTTTATTTTATTAAATTTTATATAGCTTATGAATTTATTCATTTTTATTTCAAAATTTCCTGTGTTTTTTGTTTCTACTTATAGTGTCTATCGTTCATAAAGTGATAAAGGTTTTAAGAGGGAGTTGAGTTTTGTTGGATGTACAAAGAAGAGAGGGATTACAGAAACTTTCACAAAGTGAGACGAGGGAAGTAAAAATTTCAAGAAAAATGCAGATGTAATTTATGGACAGCTTCTAACACATCATAACAATTACCTGCATATCTTTGTTATGTAATTTATGGACATCCCTTTTAGCTAGATCCATTAAAAGGTAGACTTTATTTCCTGGCTGGTATGAAAATTCTTGAACCAATAGTAACCAATATCCCAAGTTATTCAGAGTTGTAATCTGGTTGGATGGCTGAGGTGGTAAAGGCCGGCCTTTATCACCACGGCAATCTAGTCATTGGTACATCTGAGTCACCATCGTCACCTGGCAGGTTCCATTGATTGGTCATAGATCCCTAGTACTTTGCATCAACAAATCAATCAATTAATCTTTGTGTGCATTTCATTTTGACCATGGAACAAATAGTAGTAGTAATCTATTATGCAAATATTCTAATACAAATTTTGTTTTAATTACAAAAAGATTTTTAAAGAAAAAATTGAATTGTATATTTTATTCTTGATGAAAACACAAATATTGAATAACATTTATGTTTTCGTTGATGTTTTCAGTTCCTACTCGAAGATACTCAAGCTGCCCCTGATGTTAAACTACTGATTTTCAAAGCAAGATTTTAGTACATTTAGATTACAATCAAAAATATAAAAGATTTATTTATTTTATTTTATTTTAATTCAAAACATAAGTTTATCATTATCACTTTTATGGTTTTAGCACTGAAGATCTTTGAAACCTCAAAACTTTTCAACATGGTGGATAAGAATATTCCTGTGAGGGGCTATGCTGATGCATTGAAAATATCCAAGGAAGCTGGTGCCAGCACAACCATAACTTTCTATCCTTCCTTATTAACCCATGTTCAAGAGAAGGAAGTTTTGTGCAGAAAATGGCTGGCAGACCCTATAAAGAGAGAAGCGCAATCCTCGGTGACTACTTCAACCTTGCCTCTGATGGTGCTGCACCCACTGCTGGTATGTTGTGACTACATAGTCCAACTTTCTTTAGTGCTGCAACAAATGCACTTACAGATGAAATTTCACGACCATTGGATCAGATTTATGAGAAGTTATTAAATGGAGAAGTAGGCACTGAGGAAGTCTCTCAGAAAGTATAAAACTGAGTAATTGCCTTCAGGAAGAATTTAAAGCAAGAACTTAATTACCCAGAGTTTTTTGCTATTGAAGGTAGAACAATAGCTGAGGTATTTGTCAACCAATCTGTTTTAACCTATTTGATAAGGATGCTTGAAATCATGAGGAATCAAGAAGCTGAATGCTTGGCTGGTGGAGGTGCAGTTAAAAAACCGCACCCCTCCTATGTTGATGACTTTGTTTCGTGACTTGAAAACCCCACCATCGACTACATAGGTTGTGTACAAATTGATAAAAGACAGACCACTTATAGAAAAGAAGCTATTCGAGTACCTGTAGAGGAGGATAAGAATTTTAACGGAAGAGGATTTTTGTTGCTATCAACAGCAATAGCTTACCATACTCAAAAAAGAAACAGCACATTTATTGACAAAATTAACGTGCCTGAAAATTCACCGATTCAAACTGCAGTAGATGAGGCAAAGCTCTTAATTGCAGGTCTGGAAGGACAAGGAGCTAGTCTATTCCAACAGCAGATTGCAGCTGTGGACATCATATTCAATACATTTTATTGGCTAAAAAAACTCTGAGTATCAAACCGAAATGCATACAAGGTTGTCAACAAGTTTATGTATTGCATCAGAACTGTACCTATTGGCGCAGAAAAAAGGTCAGAACTAGTCAAGAGAAGCCGTAGTGCCCTAATCAGAAAATTCGCAGAATTCAGCACTGTAATGACAAACATTTACACTCTACCTTTCACATTTACACTCTACCTGCGCTTAGGAAGGTTTGACGACATGATACCAGTGATGGGCACAGTCTGTGTGACAGACTGAAAAAACATTTAATTAAATTAGGAAAATTAATGGTTATTCCAGACTAGTATTGTGTATGAGTATTTAAATTTGAATTGCTTCAAAATTTATTATTTTTTAAAATTTTATTTGATTTATTNCTTGGTCCAATGATAATGTCAGACCATATGGGTTTTCGTTGATTTTATTAAGAAATTCCCTACTGCAACCATCATTCCTTCAGAGTATGAAAACATCATTTACATATCTTGCATACAAAATGATGTCATTTTGAAAGAAGGAAAGAACTTTGTCTTCCAAACGACGCAAAACCAATTCACATAAAATAGCGGACATAGGGCTGCCCATTGGGACCCCTCTTCCTTGCAAATATGTCACTCCTTCAAAGATAAAAAATGATGTGTAACATCAAATTTGCGAGCTCCAAAATGTGTGCATGGTATCTCGTCGGATTTTCTATATTAGCAAAAAGAAAGTCTCTTAGCTCGCAAAAACATGGCGGTAATCTTATGGATGGAAACAAGGATTTAAAATCCATTACAGTCATACACTCATTATCTTTGAGGGTAATGCTCCTGAGCTTCTCCACCAGCTCACAGTGGGACCAAGTCCCAAAAAGCTGGCCAAAAGTCAAAAAATAGAGTTTAAGTTCCGGTAATTTCTAGTCGTGGGTTAGGTCGGACAAGACTCCGAAGGTCAAATTCTAGACTTTAGCGCCCCCTATCCCTTATACCTGCTATTGTAGTTCAGTTGAAAGGGGACCCTCAATCAAGCTAGACATGTCATGCAGTAAGCAAAGATTTCTACGCTATATTCAAGAGGATGCCAAATCTCTAAAAATCAATCGAATTTAAATTTAAAAAATGGAATCTGCAGCTGCAAGTAAGTTGAATACCATTATGTAACACAAAATTGATAATAATATTTAATGTGATAACAGTAAACGAATGATTTGTACGAAAATGAACGGAAGATTACAACAGAAAATTTTAAACACGTAGAGAAAAGTTCATAAATTCTGTAGAGTTCTGCGACTGGACTGATCGCATGTTGTAGATGGAACTATTATTGAATGAAAAAAAATTAAAACTAGCTGCAACTAGCTGCAATTGTGTCATTGGTGCAAGTTCTTGCAATGTAAAACACAGTTTTCTGAATTTTGTATATTAACAACGCGGCATGTTTTGCTCTTTTTCTTGAATTTGTCTGTGTGTTTTGAATGTTGTTTGCATGTAGCATATAAGCTTGAAATCAAACTGAGGCAAGCGGATCACTATCCGCTTGCCACAGTTTGATTAAGGAAATAAATAAATAAGACTCTGAAAAACGAATATACAGAAGGGTTTCCGCATAGAATTGGGTCTAATAGTTGATCAACCAAAGCCTGGTTTTGGTAGCTCGAATGATGGGAATACCGCTTGACAATTTTTCGAAAACTCAAGCATTTCTGCTGCTATTACAGGGGTTGATGAGGACTTGATTAAGCGTTTCTGTGTCATATTGCAGACAATTTCGTGTGACCATGAAATTGATTTCATAGAATTTCAAGATTATGCTTTACAGATAGCTCATTACTTTGTGCAGTTATATCCGTGGTTCTGCGTGTCAACTTCGGTACATAAGATGGTGCAGAAGTGATAAATTCATCGGTATTGCCGATAGGGCAGATGTTTGAAGACGCTCAAGAGTCTACTAATAAATACAGTACATTAAAAAGTTTCGAGAAGATTTTGCAAGAAAAGTTTCCGAGTGAAAATAATGGAAGACATTATTTTACACTTATTATTAATATCCAATCCGTTTATTTCGAGTTTGTGTGAATTACCTCAAAAACACTTGTTGCTTTCAGAAGCAGTTTTATTGTTAGTTGCGCCACGTATACCAGCAAGTACGGGAAGCTCCAGCGATTTCAAAGTTGAATCATCTGATTGTGAATCAAATTATTCTTTGGATAACGATGCATGAACTTTTAAATCAACTGATTGTATGTTTTATTGTATTAAACAATATATGAATTTATTTTGTAGTTTTCCTACAAAAGTGGTTCATGTTAAATCCGTCGTTTTGTTTTTATTTCAAATTTTGACTTTGTATTCATAATCAGCAACCCCGAAAACCCTTGAGTACTGACTTTCAGCCAAATTGATAACACTTTTGACTTTTGGTCAGCTTTTTGGGATTTGGCCCCACTGTGCAGCTGTACTGCGTTTTTTATAGCAAAGGGATATTCCTGTATTTTCGGTCTTATAAAATTGACCAGTTGCTTGTCAATAGGAAAGGTANTCGTGAAGTTTCATTTGTTGCCTTTTTCTTTCCTTAAGCAAATGTCAGTAGCAGATGATCGCATCCAAAATGCCTCGTTTTGCATTTGCACTGCTTTCAAAATCTGGATCTTTCGCTACAATTTGATCAACGATTTTGGTTATCGTTACCAAATTTTTACTAAGGAAATCTGTAGAGAAATTTTTTGGGTTCTTCATTTTCAGAATATCTATTTTCCAGTTCTACATGAATTCCTTCCTTGTTCTGCCAGTTCTTGAAGGTCATTGTTGATAAGACTCTCACCAGAAACCTGCGGCAACTCCTCAATATCCTGCTCGTCTAAATCTCCTAGTCCTGCTGTATCGATTAGATTGACAATTTAGTCAATCTAACAATACAGCGATAGGCTCTTCTTGTTGAGAATCCTTGGAAACTTCAGCCATTACTTCTTCCAAGCTTCATTCGTGCATTTATCAGTTATTTCTTGTTAGGCAAAGTTGATATTGCCTATGGCATCCGTGATGATATATTTTTTCCAAAATTGCACCAAACAAACATAGATTTAAAGAAAGTACACCTTTTTGCCATCTTTTTCTGATTGGTTCATGTTCGTAAATAATCATATTATATACGAATCAATGAAATGCTGTGATAATTTAAATCAATTTAAATTTTGAGCTTTTTTAAGGCTTCGAGCAAGACCGCGTTAAGCAGGGTCTTACTGTACACAAAACTTAAATCCTAGGTGAGTTTGTAGTATACCCTTCATACTCATCCTCCCTTTGTATCAGTAAATATTTTAATTAATTTTTGTAACAAAGATTGTATTAATTATTATGGTGTTGGTGAAATATATCCTATTTGGTTAATATTGGTGCTTAATGCTATGCAACACCAAGGTCAAGACGTAGTTAAAGAAAAAGCTGCTATTTTGTTTATGTGCTGTTTGTGTATATATCTGAATTTAAGAAATTTCCTGAGTATCTGACAGCTTTCTGAAATGTGATGTTTTATAATGAATCTCTAATGTTTTTAAACTTCTGTGTAGTGTCTGCTGTGATATGACACCTGTGCACGAAAAGACCACAGGTGCAATAAGTAGCCTATCCATTTGCCGAATTTCCATTTATTTCGTGGGCGAGTTTTGAGTATTTTCTAATATTTTCAGTTTATGTATTTTGTATATTGTGGGTGTTTGGAACAGCTATGTCTGTGTTAGATATGATTTTATTTTGTTTGCCAATGAATGTGATGTCTGGTCTATTGTGATGGATTGTTTGTTCTGTGATTATGGCAGCAAGTTCATAGTGTATTTTGTACTGTTTTATATGACTGTCTTAGGTGTATATTTGTAGTATGGTTGTTGGATATATAATAGTTTGTGTTTGTGTGCAAGCTTTTAATGTATTGTATTTGATATTCGACAAGTAGTCAGTCTGTGTTAAATGGCTTACAATCCTATGTGATGTGCTACAATCTAATTATGTATACGATGAGACGTTTCCTACAAATGTCATCTGGAAATATTCTCTGTCTCTCTTAAAATGTGCTTCCTGTAGTATTTTGTATTTATGATCTGGTCTTGCATGGCAATTATGAACCTGTCTCTCCAAAGCAATCTCCATGAGTCAGCTAGCTATTCTTTCAACATTATCCTTGTCAAGATTGTTAGAATGCTTACCATGAAGCTCCATCTGGTTTCAGCACTGCTTCATAATGTGTACTGTGTTAAATTTAGGTCAGTGTTGTAGATTTAATGGTGAACTACTGTTTTTGTCTTCAATATTTCCATTTGTTTTT